CTGCTGGCTGGACCAGTGCCACATATCGAAATGCAAATTCAACTTGCAGTTAGAATATCCTAGGGGCTGCTGGGGGTTAAGGGGTTAGGGGGTTAAGGCGGAGTGAGTGGGTGCTGAGTGGGTGGGTTAAGGGTCGACACAAAACAAAACTCCGCAAAACGATAACGACACTCATCATCAACCAAAGTCGGATTTTGGATGCCTGCTTCTCCGCCACCTTAACCCACTCTTGACCCACACTTGCCCCCGTCTTTTCACATGCATTTCAGAAACGCAACAGTAAACGCAATTTTTGGCCATGGCCACAATTCGTTTACTTTCAACTGCTGGCTACAGTGGATGCCCAGTCAGAGTCGTAGTCCTTCGCTTGGTGTTTGCAACACCACACCCCAAATACTACTAGTAGTGCTACTTTTCCTCCTGTTTTTCCTCGTGGCAGCCGCCCCCTTATTCGGTTTTTCCTAGGGACAATCATCCTCCTCAGACGTTGCTGGGTTGCATTTTCCGTTTTCGTTTACGCATCGTTTGAAATTTCTATGAATTGTAGATGCAATCGTCCAGGCCATGGGTGCTGCCTAAGACTCATGTGTTACATGTGTGCCCTCACCCTTACCCCTTGGAAAAGCGCTCGGAAAAGGCCCCTTCCACTGATGGGTTATGGTTCACGAACCCAACCGACCCCAAAAGTCAGTCGAGTGCATTTCACTTGCAGTGCATTTGGTAAGCTCACGACGAAGGCAAAGTTGACGATTCTCCTCCAGCTCTGTTTTTGTCGCCAGGCTTGGGTCCACCAGGCAATGCAAATTGAAAACACCACTCCTCCAGCCCCCATTTGGTTGGATACGTGGAAACGCTCCCCTTCCATCTGAAGAAGATGAAAGCCGGGGAAAGAAATGTACAGTTGGCCCCGTTGGTTGGCCAAAGGATTAGAGTGAGAGGAAATGGAAACTGGTACCGGTAGCGGGCCAATCTTTCATGACGAAACAAATATCCTCATAATTCAACAGGAAAATTGCCCCGCAGTTGGCAGACCCTGAAGGATGCACTCGGCGAGAAGCATTCAAATGGATCATTTGTGTTTTATGAAATCTAAAGTGCATTCCAATGAGCTTATGGGGTTTTTCTTTTACTTTTCAAATACATATCATTAAATGCTAAATGTAAGTAGTCTATTAGAATTTGGTCTGAATCAACTATTTTTGCGAAGTGCATGCACAGGGGTGCCAGGAGTTTTAGGGGCCTGGAACTGAGCCGGGCCTATGAGGTTTTTCTGCGGCATCGTTTGTTACGCCTCCGGTTTTGTGGGCCAAGAGGGTGGGGCGAGTTTCGGTGGTCAGAGATTGGGGATTGCGGGCTGCAAAAGGAGGTGGACCAGAGACCCTTTGTTGGTTTCTGGTGATTTGCTTTGTCAGTGACAAAAATAATAACAGCCAGCCGCAGGCGAAGCCAAAGAGCTCCGTTTTTGCCCATGCCACGTCACCGGTTTTCTGCTCCTGATTCGGATGAGGATTCTGTTTCTGTTTCTGGCTATGGCTACGGCTATGGCTATGGCTATGGCTACCCATATGTCAAGTGCTCCGGCCAGCATGTGTGTGACCATTTTTAATTACCACAATTTGAATTTCTTGAATAACTATTTGGATAAGAATCACAGGCAGATGAAGAGCCCTAATGGATGGGGCACACATCACAATCGCACCACACCACAAACACAAATCCTGTTGCGTTTTGTACCTCTACAAAAGACAAACGCTTTCCAAGTTGCCTTCTGTCTGGCCAAAGTTGTGTCTCATAAATAATCAAGCAATTATTTTCCTGTCAATTTCAACACGGCCGCCGAAAACGCAATGCCAACGCCTAAAACGGCCAAAGGACGACGAACGAGGAACTCTCTCTGTTCGCAGGACTTTTCCAGAGAAGAAGAAGCAAGTGAGCAGGGTACATGCAACCCGCTGAGTCCTTCGGACACGCTACACGGCCTCAAGGAGCAATAAATTCTTTCTGGCTACGTCGGCCAAGAAATGCAAGCACTGGTCGAAAATCCACCAAGACAAACGGGTTGCGGCTGAACAAGAAAAATACTCGTGCCATAAAACGAATTCTCAAAATCAACATATTTGGTACGAGTATAAAAAAATTTCTCTCACAATGTCTCATCATAAAGTGCAGTGGCAATTTTTTTTCACGGTGCATTGAATGCACAAAGGCGATGCCAACTGAGAAGCCGTCGCGTCTGGCGGTCCGTGGCCATAGTCTGTTGATTTTGCCGGGCGGCCCAAGGATCGGGAATCCTGGAAGTGAAACTTAAAGCCTTTTGTGCATTGGTCCCCTCATCCGGTATCTATTCGATTTCACGGCCGTATATCATTGCGATTTCAGTTACAGAGTGCCGTGCCAGTTGCTCGGCATAATATATATGTATCTAGATTTTTCCCCGTTTCTTTGCTTTTCCACGCACCGGTCGGAAGTCCTTTAGCAGATTATCTGGGCAGGCGAGTCCTGCGAATATCCCGTGAATATCCCGTGATTTGTAATTGAAGGGCGTGTTCGCTGTTCCCCGAAAAGGAGAGCTGAAAGTTGGGAGTGGAAAAAGAAATAGAAATGGGAATGGGAATGGAAATGGAAATGAAAATGAAAATGGAACTGGATCCATGCGTTTGTCTAGCTGATTGCATTCCCCGAAAGGAAGTCGGAAGGGGCCATTAAGTGATGCCAATGATTAACAACGGAAGTATAGATTTGGCCTACGAGTCTGGAACTTTATTTATTTTTCTTGTACTTGGTAAGGGATCTGGCCATGAACATGGACATAAAGATGAAGGCACGACGAATCGAAGGCCTTAATGGCATTTCGCCATAAATCAAATCGCCGACTAATTGTCCAGCAATAAAGAAACGATTGCTCAACGGTGCAAAAGGGCAGAGCTGTTAAGGATCTGAAAAAATTTGCGTAGACTAGGGATAAAGGATATTTCGTAATTAGTTTTGCGGGCACCCTTGAAATGTTGCCCAATTGATACAAAATAACCTTTTATTCCTGGCTATCCTTTTTGCATGGCACCATACCAACAGCTTAAATAAAACAATAAACGTAAATAACTTTCAATTGAATAGTTTTGTGGCGGCAAACTCACGTTCATCGTAGAACGGGTGCGAAATTCTGTGGCCGTTAAAACCGAGTAGTGAGGAGTGAGCAGTGAGCAGTGAGGACAACCGGCATTTCCGCTCGACAATGGTCCGCCATTAGCAGCATTATTCTTGCAGGGTGTCCTGTGCCATTTTAACTCCCCCCTGGACCTCTCGTCTATCAAGTCCTCTGAATGAACCCATCTATAAAACCCCTTCTCTGCAAAACATTTTTGCAAATGTCCCTCTCATATGGGTTACGCTCTTCCGTCCCCCCAGCCCCCCAGCCCCCCAGCCCCCCAGCCATGTACCATGTTTGATTGTAATTTTGTAATTTTCTCAGTTTATTATCTGTCAACATTATCGCACACACACTCGACCGAAACGGGCATTAAATTCTTGGCCGTCGCCATCGCTCTTATCTTGTGTCGCATAAAACGCCGAGCGACTTTTCCACATTTCCACATTTCCAGCACGCACAACAAATAAACTCATCGAATTTCTCTTGTTAATTGAAATAAAACTATTTCAACTCCATCTCCTTTGACCCCTTAAATCAACTGGGGCTTTGAGGCAGAAACTTTTCATTTGTTTTGGGGTTGCAAAAGTTTGTGCACACCAAAAGATACAAGATACTAAATACCATAGTTTTACAGATACTTGAAGTGATTGCAACTGATGGACTAGAAATTGGTATTAGTATTGAATTTTTAGGAAAATCAAATTTGTGAAAATCAAACTTCGGAAGTTTGCGCACACCCAAAAGATACAAGATACTAAATACCATAGTTTTCAGATACTTGAAGTGATTGCAACTGATGGACTAGAAATTGGTATTAGTATTGAATTTTTAAGGAAATCAAATTTGTGAAAATCAAACTTCGGAAGTTTGTGCACACCCAAAAGATACAAGATACTAAATACCATAGTTTTACAGATGCTTGAAGTGATTGCAACTAATGGACTAGAAATTGGTATCAGTATTGAATTTTTAGGAAAATCAAATTTGTGAAAATCAAACTTCGGATAATTTGCAATTCTCGTTCGCCACTCCTGCATCTTAGTACTAAGTTATCGCCCAAGGGAAATGCGAAGTTGTGGCCCTAATAAGTAAAAAGCCACTTCAAATAAAAAAGTGCAGTCGTGAGTCCCAGAGAAAGAGACAGAGTTGCAGAAATGTGAAAGAGACGGCATCACTCATACACACACGAAACTCATAAAAATGCTTTGTGGTTTGGAGTTTCTTTTCTCTTTTATTTTTGCTGTTTTTTTATTGTTTGATGGCAAGGTTTTGTGTCCCATACCCAAACTCTTGCTGGGAATTCTTCAACTTTGGCTCCTGCTTTTGAGTTCGCTTTTTTGTTTTTTCCACAAACTTTACAAAGCATTAACACCTCATAGATGGCAGACACAAAGGCGGGGGTTAAGAGCTAAAAAAATCAAGTTAAAAGCCACAAAACTCCAAACTCAAATATCGTATGTCACGTCACACATTGGCAGGGCCAAAAACAAAAAAAAAAGGGAAAAAAGGACATTGGTGCAAGGAGTGCACGAAGATGGTAAAAATTTGATTAAGTTTATTAGGGCCAGGACACTCACTTGACATTTTACCAAGATTTTGTTTCCCAACTTGTTCATGGTTTATTGACCACTTTGTTTTGGTGGGAAAATCACAAATGGCGCAAACACCTTGGTAGTACACTCAATTAAGCCATTGTGTATCTGTAGCCTGTAGTAAAACAACAATTTTATTACACCTTAACAATTTTTGGGACAACTTGCATAGTTGTGGACAGAAAGTTGCAACGAAAAGGGTAAAAAAGTGATTTGCGATGCCCGAGTTGAAAAAAGGAGTTTCGAATTATCGAAAGATAGTTTCTAGGGCCAACTTCGCCGAACAGCAGCTACCAACAACACTGGCCAGTAAAATCTGCTGGGAACTGGCCGTTCTGACTTCCATGGTTTTATGTAGCCTCGGATATCCGATCTGCTTGCACCCGCGTTTCCCTTTCGATTCTCCGGGTGGCAATTCTAGACGACACTGGCCAATAGGACCGTAATGTCATCCGGTTTTCCACCCGATGCATCGATGTTGAGTTTCCGGGCATTCTGACTAAACGGAGAATCGTGCTTTGGATTGAGGCTCAAAGTGCGGGCCATCAAAGCCACCGCATTGGCGGCCATTTGAAGCCGCACGGGATTCGAGATGCCCGACATCTCCGTAAGGACCTCCACGAGAAAGCTTTCAGGTACATTATCGTAGACGCCATCGGTGGCCAGCAGAATGACGTCGCCCAGTTGCGTTGGGAACTTGATGGTGTCCGCCGCTTCGGGACCATCCGATAGTGCCTTGATGTCGTGACCCGGAGGCGGCGATGCCAATTGATAGGGGGTGTTGAAGTGGTGCTGCTGCTCCTGCGATCGGCAGACCACCTGGCCAGATCGCACCACCAAAAAGCCACTGTCTCCGATATTTGCAGTATACAGGGTGCTGTTGGCGCGATTTAGAGTTAGGATGCACGCTGTGCAGCTGCCCACAATGGGGCATTTTTGGTCTAGGAGATCGTAATAGGCTCGTTCCAGCAGTACTTCTGGTCTTTTCGGCATAAAATCCGGGGCATGTGACATGCGCTCACAGGATCGCATTAGGAACATGCTGAACTCGCCGGGATCGATGCCATAATTTCGCCAGCCGCCCACTCCATCCGCCACGCCCATTATGTACGCCTGTGGATTGGAGGCCATGAACCAGGCATCCTCACCAAACTTTCCCCGATTATATTGCGAGTGTATTATCTGATCCTTGGCAAAGCCGCAAGCCACGCTCACAAGACGCGGAAGTTGAGCTTTGATGTTATTCTCGTGCCGCAGGTAGTCACCCTCGCCAGCCAAGATCCTGGATCCTGTTTTCCTATTTTGTGCACTTTTCCTGGGACTGTGGCTTTGGTATTGACTGCTGGACAGCGAACCATCGCCGATATCTTCTTGACAGTTTGGGGAAAACTCCTGGCCTGAGCCGCCCCACAAACGGCGCAAAAACTGGCAACTTTCATGGGTCAAAATCAGAGCTATCTCAAGCAGTTGTTCGCAGCAACTGATGAACGCTTGCTGAATCGTTCGACGAGTTCCTCCGAAGTCCAGACTTATTTCCACATCCATCGCCTGCGCCTTCTTTTAAGCAAAGCAAAACAAAACGTTTGTATGTAAACCGAAAGCGATCGTGTGCTATTTAAACGAGTGCCAACCAACAACTAACAGTTCGATCTGAAATTTATTAGGACTAAATCAACGCCATCTATGTGTTGCCACTTACTATGCGAGAAGGAAACCTCAATCTTGCCACTTATTTGTCTGGAATTATTCCGCTTGTCCAATCGAAGCTCATCTATTTCAATATTTTGGTCCATTTGAAATGCCTGTAATCAGTTTTGAAAAACCGACCCCAACCATTTGCCCGTCCCACAAAGAAGCCACTGAAAGCGGAGGGCTCAACTCAATTATGCACAATTACGGACACAAACAGATACCAAGTGGTGCCACATGGGGGAATGGAAGCTGGAATGCCCCTCGATCTGCAAAAAGCCCATCAAACCAACCGAAATTTTGGGGCTTCCCCGTGGACTGTGCACTTTTTTGGCTGTTGTCTGGGAATCGGAAGGCAGTCACTGCAATTGCAGTTGCATTTCCAGTTGCACTTGCAGATGTGGCACTTGAATTGCATGCATAGCTCATTGCTTGCCACTCGACTGGGATGAAGTGGTGCAGCTGCGATGTGGGCGGTGCAGGTGGCGCTGCACTCAAAAAAAGGGGAGAAGAAATACAATTACATTTGGAAATCCTTTTATATGCATTTTTAAGAAGCTGCAAAAAATATATTTAGTATTATATGAGTGCAATATTTAAATAACAATTGTATTTAGTTCATCTGGTGCTTGGCAACTTTTCATGGCGCGAAAATACTCTTGAAATTATAGTGACCCTATAAACCATTATTCCTTTTGCGTTTTTTGTACTGTGTGCTGTTTTTGAAATGCCATTGAATTGCTTAAATACATTCATCGTCGTCATCGCTTAATGGCTTGCCTTTTTTGGTTGCCATGTCTACTTGGGTTCGTGTTTTCGGTTTGAGTTTGAGTTTGGGTTTGGGTTTGGGCTTGCTCCAACCCAAAAAATGGCGATGCAACATATGCGAGTGGCATGAATAAACGGCCTGCTTGAACGAGTGAACGAGTGAATGTATGAATGAATGAGTGAACGAATCACTGGCTGGATTGGATGGCTGATATGAAGTGCAATCAATGCAAAAACGATTTCAAGTGCCCAGCATCCAGTTAGTCAGCCATCCATCCAGCCATTTATCCAGCCATCCAGACTAGACAATCCCAGCACCAGATGCATTTTACCACCTCCCCGCACTACCCAAAAATGTGGCTTTTCCACTGGCGCCTGGAGAATGGGACTATTAGATGCACAGCAACCATGTGCGTCGGTGTGTCGGTGTGAAAGGATTATTCACACACTATTGATTTCAAATTGAGTTGACTTCAAATCCGTTTGAATTGACAGCAGCCAGCAGATGGCAGCACATACACACTGTTCTCACTCTCATTTACCCATATTCCAGATTTCCCAGCCGGAAGTTGACTAATGAATTTAATTTGCTGCGGGTGTTGAGGCAAATATGTTAGTCGTAGAGCAGCTCACAGGACCACCAGGACACGCACAACTCACAGGAATCACAGGCACACAGATCAGCGAACCAGGAACTGACTGATTGACTGCTCCACCCGATGTCCTGATATCCTGGTGTCTGCTGTCCTGATGCCTGTAAGTAGGCAACTGTTTTTGTTTACCCACTTGAGGACCCCACTTTCTCGATTTGTCCGCAATTAATTGTCATTGCCGGGTTTCCACAAATATCTGGCACCAAAGGATTTTTGGACCTGCATTTCTGTATTTCCTGTGCAACTAGAGTTTCTGGCTTACTGAATGTTCAAGATTTATCTTTGATTATCCATCATTTTCTGTGAAACTCACAATTTAAAAATGCAACAATTCGTGTTTAGAAAACGGTAAAGTAAAATGTTAGTTTTTTGCGTTTTTTGCGTTTTTCCAACACTGCTCAACCAAGGAATAAATGTTGCTGAATTTTCGTCAGTGCTTTGCAGACAATAGTGTGATGGTCAAGAGGACAAAGCAGCTCGCCGCAATTGTTGACTGACCAATGATCAATTTAATAGGAAAACAATATTGATGGCCGAGGACCACTTGGCTGGAAATTCCTGTCCAAGGAGTGGATGCTCGAAAAGCGGAAGTGTTGCGGTTTTTGGGTAAATTCAATGGGGTACGAGTTGCTACTCCAGTGTTTTGTTTGTTTGCCTCGAAAACTTGGCAAACTTTTGGTGTTGTGTGTTGTAACTAAATTTTCGAGAGGACAAAGGGCAACACTTTCACTTCGTCTCGGGCAAAACTCTCTGTTTGGTTTCTTGTGGTTTATTATTCACGCCTGAATTGATTGTAAATTAAAGTTTGTGTCGTTGTGCATTTTGAGGTCAGCCTATGGCAAAGTTTTCTTTTGTGTGCGTGTGCGTGTGTGTGTGTGGGGATCTTGGGTCCTTGGGTCCTCGGGTCCAGCCTTTGTCCTCAGCTGTCCTGCTATCCTGTGCGTGTGGGTGTGATGGTGTGAGTGCACGAGTGTGGGTGTGAGTGTATGCTGAAGTCCTGTAGTCCTGGGTCTTTGATGCCCAGCCATATTAGAAGCCAAAAGGCATTCGAGTGCACATAAGACGATTACACATCATTTAACCGAGGCACATTGCAAAACTATGGGGCAAAACCGAACCACCCCGTCTCCAAGCCCCCATCCTAAATTGCCATCTATTTCCCAGGTCCTGTGTAATTGTTGCTCCTTCTTATTGACTGCTGCATATTGATTATGGCACCCGTCGCCTTGGAGTTTCCTTTCCAAGTTCATTTTCCTTCTTGACTTGACTTAACTCGACTTGACTTGATTGCCGGCATTTCTCGTTCTTGTTTAAAATTCAATCGCTGCACTCAACTGTGCTCCAAATGTATTCATGTGTGTAACTCTAGTTTGGGTGTTTTTGAATTCAATATACGCATATGTGTGTATGTATGTACAAACTATGCGTATGTGTGTACATAATACTTGGGCGTTTGTTTCGAGACAAAATTAATTTGGTGTTAATAAAGTGAAAGTGCGGCCAGGCTTCAGCCTTTTGTCTGTGTTATGGAGACTTTAAGTTTAAGAAGGCTTAAATTGATTGCCCCTCAAAACTTTAAGGAGCGCATTTGATTGGTCTACTTGGAAAAGGCCATGTTTAGTTTAAGTTTTGCGATTTGAATGGGCTTGTGAATTTTTTGTGCATTTCTTTTGTGTAATGGGCATTATTGCTCAGATTTTAACGATAGGTAATTCGTAGGCGTATTCTTTAGGTACACTAACTGCATTTTCTTGATAATATGCATTATTATTTTGTTAGGAACGAATGACGACCCGTGAAGCATCTGAAATACTGGGTACTAGTCACCATATCTGTGGCAAAAATCAAGGAGATGTGCAAAAAAATCCGTCGAGATAGAACGCAAAGGACTAGGCTCCAGTTGACAGAACTTAAAGTGCAACAAAGTGTGTGCAGTTAAGCCAAGTTAAATGTAAAATATTCCCTTGATGGCAGGATATTAAATTATTTAGCAACGAGTATTATTTGCACCATCTAAATGCGTAAACATTTCTAAGTATGTGGTAGTGGTATGGTATACATATGAAACTCTGCTGCTAATGTCCTGTTCGCAGAGCTCCGCCTGATACTTTCCTGATCCTTTTTCCTGTCCCACGTACGCCACAAAGTACCTGTGCGCTTGGGAAATGTTGTGTACTTGGGTCAACTGAACTGCTTTCCGCTGCTCCTTAAGCTGCCAAACTTTTGCCACTTGGCCACATTGCTCGTTGTGCTCGAGTGTGCGAGGGCGGACTTTACCGGGTTAACCCCTTAAAACTGCTAAATTGTTGTCCTCGAATCTATGGCCAATACGTTTTTCGTGCAGTTTATAGTTGGCGAATATGTAATCCTATCTTAACGCTTTGTGATTTCTTGTGTGCATATTGTCGAATCATATAAACAGTGTTTGTTAACCACTGTTGACCGTTCTGGCTTCTGGCTATTAATGGGTTAATGCGAACGGGGCAACTGGCCAATGTCCAGGCATGCACTTGACGGTTGCTCTGCCCGCCTCTAGAAAAAAAAAAAAAAAAAATGCATCTCCTTTTCCAGTCTTCTTGGTACATCAAAGTTGGCAACTTTCGAGTTGAGGAATTTTCGACAAGGCAGGGCTGGACTTGGCGGAACTTTTGTTACTTTACCTTTACCTGAGAAAGGAGCGAAGGTCTCAGCTCGGCCGGCAACCGAAAAAGGAGGTGGAATTAGAGGCGGCAAGTTTAATTGTTGTGTGTTGTCCTGCCTTTTGGCCCGGGCACGGGTATAAATTCAACCGGCGCTCAGGTGTCCTTAGTGGTGTTCTAATTACTAACAAACTTAATTTGCTACAAGTTATTTTCTTGCGGACACCGCTTACTCGTACTTCCACTACCTACCACTGCCACTTCCACTGTCTTTTTATGACCATGGCCACTTGACTCGCCACTCCTTTCGGCCAGAACACTTAAGCCCACGCGAATCCTGGCCTCTTATTTTCGAGAGTTTTCGCTGTACCGAAACACGAGGGTCGAAGAATCCCCCAAAAAAGAATAAACTCAAGAACTAAGTCGGTAGATAGCTCTTGGTAAGTAGTCCTGTGACAGGGGACAGGCCAATTCACTGGCATGCAAATGAGTGCAGCACCAAGATAGTTTCCAAATGTTTACAAGTAAGCCATTAATTTAAATAAACATCCCCAAATAACGCATATAACACCGCAGTCTGTCGACAGGTCTAGGTTCTAGTCTTCACGATCAGAAAACATTTGGTTGTAAGTACATAATAAGCAATGACGAATTAAAAGCAAATCAGTTATTGTTCTTGGATAAACTGGGCAAATATTTGTGTTATTCTGGACTATTAATCACTGCTCTTTGGCCAACCTAAGCACTGTTTTCCTTGAGGGCAACCACAATCGGTGTTAGCTGCCTCCTTGGCTCAAAAACTTCGAATGCTTCTCCTTGGGGCTCCCAAGATGAACCGGCCGCAACCGGCACTTCATTGGCCAAGACGC